TTCTGAAGTAGAATAAATAGGTCAGTGTTCACAGTTCACATCACAGGTCCTCTGGATTCAGACTCCAGCAATGAAGTAGTATGAGTGGCAGTTCAAATTAGCTCAATTATTTGAGGTATCACTGTCATTTCTTGTTAAATTACTATGAAATAAATCACCCTTATGATAATTTTAACTACCTCTTTTTATAACCTCTCGAATATTTTCTGAATGGATTTGTCTGTGATTTTAGAGATTTCTGGATGAGTGAGAGCTACTTTTGATCTACTACATAAGCCGGTCGGTGTACGAGCATCTTTGACCCATGTTTACAACATGGGCAGGTAGGACCAGTGTCTCAGGTCTGTTTTCTAATACATGTTTTCTAATAATGGCCGGTAATGGCTTTCTGATTCTGCATCTCATTTTATGCTGGCCATGGCCCCATGGTAGATCTGAACAAGCTTGGGGCTATTTAATTTTAAACAAATTAGCCTTGTCTATTAACTGGAAAGAACTAACTAACAATGCTATTCAGGTTTTCTGCCTGGAACCTGGGAAGCCAGTCAGATTAGTGAACAGTCATACAAGTTTCAGGTCTGGAAAGTCTGGCTTACAATATTTGGAAGGGACTAAGAAATGGAAGTGTGGTGGAGATTTATATAAGGTTATACTCAGTTTTGAAAGTTTGCTGTGAAGCTTTATTAGTCATCATCTGATACTGCTAAGTTGAACGCAATGTGAATTTTGCAAGTTACTGCACTGCAAAATAGCATGAAGTAAAATCACTCTTAATGTGGTCATACATAATCCATACCCTAGCACTAGTTATAAAGGATTCTGTTGTTAAAACAAAGCACGTCTGTTCCTTTGCAATAGTTTTCTCTTTAGGGATGATTATTCAGTGATTAATAAAAAAATTTTATGAAGCCAGTATAAGTTGAGGAAAGGAAGGAGCAGAGTTTATTATCTAATGTTGTTTCATAATGAGATAGCATAATGATGGCAATTGTAAGCATTTGGATATAGTGGTTTGCAGAAGAGGGAGAGAGCCTAGCCAAACTATTCCAGAGAGATCAGGAGCCTTTTAATGCGGAACATGGCTGCTCTACACACAAGCTAAATCACAGTTAAAATCTGTTTTAAAAAGATTAGTTAAATTGATAAAATTTTGTATGGACCTACCTACATTGAATCAAGTGAAAGTAAGGCCAGCGATCTTTGCTACAAATTCTTTTATGACAGAATTGATTTGTAAAGATTCTGTCTCTGCTGCTTGCTTAAGCCTCTACTCACAATGTCAATTACCACCCTTGTCAATAGCGCTGCTTCAACTGTACATGAACTAGTGCTCTAAACTGACAGCGGGGATTTATCTTGCTAAAGACAACTCACCTCCAGTGACATCAAAAAAGAGGTGCACGTATGAGTGCTTTTACCCTGGATTGTTTCACAGGTCAGGTTTATTATATAGCCTCACATGGAGCTCATTTGTTCAGAATGATGGCTAGTGACTTGACTGGGAGGCAGATGGGAATGTAAGGACATCAGGAGAATCAGGAGTAGAGAAGGCAGGGATCTTCTGAGGAGCCTCTTGTACTCCAGCAAGGTCTGAACTGAACTGAAAAATCACGAGCAGTTTTTGTTTCCTGTTTTTGCTAAAAGTATTAAATACTGCTACAATTTTCAATGGAATGGAAAAAAATGTATGTGACTGTCTACTTGGCTGTAAGACAGTATATAATAAGTGACATACTTGACATTTTTCTCTTAACTAGTTAGTTGTTCACTTTTGAATTTGATTATTTCCAAGTACCAGAATGTGTGATCAGAAAGACAGAACATTTCCATGTAACTTTAATGTAAAAACTGAGGAATAACCCAAAGTAAGATAAACTAATGAGCTTATGACATTTTGGCATGACTGTGATGTCTGTATAAAGTCTCAAAGGTTTCTCTTTGTTTGGATCAGATATTTCTTAGGTCTGATCTTATGTCCCTTGACTTTCTTTAAGAATTCATTCAAGGACCAGAGAAACTATGCAGGAGTGTTCTCAGTTCTCTAGTGGAAAAGCAGAGGGAGCTTAACTCTTTGATAAGGTAATATTACCTATTTTTTTTCTTCCTTTTTTTTTTTTTGTGCGCCACGTAAATACAATCATGTTACCACAAAAATTATACAAGTAGTCTTCCCAAAGAATTCCTCCCTTCAGATGCATGGTTTCTACCCTTAATGCTTGCAAGGTCATATTCCCACTCATTCTTGGGTAGCTGTCACTTGAATTTTTAAGAGGGACAGAAAGACCTGTTAGCATCCTTTCCCAGCAACAGAAACAAAGGCTTTCCGCTGTCCTTTCTCCCTCTAGGTTTCTTGACCCATTAAGAATAGGCTTATTGCCACTTTTGTACTTTGTAGTTCTCCAGATCCATCCATGTTTGCAGCTTCTCACATTGACTTTTAACATGTAAATTATTTCAGTCCTCAAGCACTTTCATGGGGATGAAGTAGTCCGAGGCTGAAGTAATCCAATTTTGGGTTAATCAAAACTGATGTTTGAGGTTCTGTGTGCATGCGGTGGGTGCTGCTCCCCTCCTCCTTGCTACATTGAAGCAAAGCACAACACAGCCCATTTCCTACCTCCAAGACTGCTCAAGTGCCAGATTCTTGTGAACTTCACTTTACCACTTAAATTACAGCATAGGAAGGCATAGGAATACGGAACAGGAACACATCTCACCACTCAGTAAATGCACGCAATGAATTATTAGCGTAATCACTGGCACTGCAGACACTGAGCTTCCCACCAACAAACCGGCTTGAACGTACCCTGCTTTGGTTCTATGCAGACCACATCCATGATTAACATGCATGCCCAGAAATCAGGTCATTTTCATTTCAATTTAATCCAGCTTTACTTAGGAGATCCAGGGGAGAAAGAGAATCCGTTTGTATCAGCCTTCACTGCCTCAGGCTGTTGTTGGAGAGGGACAGGCAGGAAAACACCTCAGGTGAGCAAGAGGTGTTATGCTGGACAAACTCGAGGCCGATGGCAGGGCATCAGCTCAGGTATCTCTTTACTGGTAAACGCAGGTCAAAGGACTGGAATTTTTAGTTCCTTCCAGCTCCTGCCCTATCTAGCGCCCATGAAATGACGGCCTCCACCTGCCCCAACAGGCCGGCCTACCGGGCCTCCTGTACCTGCCAAGGCAGCAGTGTGTGTCAGGACGTAGTATAACAGACACAGGCTGCACACCTGGGGAGACCAAAAGGAAACGCCACAGCTTCGGGCTAAAAATCCCTTTGGGCAACAACACTGCGCGATCATGGACACCCAGAACCTGTCGGCTTTGCTACCCTCGCCCAGTCGGGCCGGGCCGGGCCGGGCCGGGCCGGGCCGGGCCGGGCCGAGCCGCTCGTCCCGCCCCTGACCCGTTTCTCGCATCTCGATTGGT